GCAGGCCTCCATTTTGTGGGCTGCCGGAAGCCCGCGTGCGCATGCTCTCGAAGGCGGGGCTGTCGCCTGGCGGGGAGAGCGGTGCGCTAGGGATTGGCTTCCAGCGGGAGAGCGCTCATTGGGAGAGCTGCTGCTGTTGGCTGGGCCGGGAGCTGCTGGAAGCTGGCGGTGCCTCGCCGCCGTGCTAGTGCATTTCGGTGCCGTCGGAGAGGGCTGGACGGTTTAGTGCAATTCCCGCCTGCATTTTTTTCCCTTTCGACGTCAGCATACTGTAGATTGGCATTTGCTGATGAAGGCGGGTGTGTTAGCATTTTGTGTGACCACGGCTTTCTGATGTTAGATTTAGTGATCCTCTTGGATCCCCAACTTGGTAGTGTCTGTATGGAAAGAAAAAAAAAATCTTTACTAATGGGTCATAACGGCCCATTCGGGACAACGAGAATTGGCTTTGTTTTTGTTTTCTGCTTTGGTGTCTGAATTCCAGTTTCTTCATTAGGGATTTAAAGCCAACTTGTCTCTGTTGCGGAGGCCTGGAGAAAAAACTTACACACAGCGCTGTCGGTTGTTTGTGGGGAACCTACCTGCTGATATCACAGAGGATGAATTCAAAAGACTGTTTGCTAAATACGGAGAGCCCGGAGAAGTTTTTATCAACAAAGGCAAAGGGTTCGGGTTCATTAAACTTGTGAGTGTATTTGGTTGGCTTTTTTTTATATATATACACGTACATAAAGAGAAGTGTTTGGGTTTCTTTTTTTTTTTCTAATTGAAAGTCTTGAAGGTTTGATTTTAAATGGGAAAAACTTTTCTATTATCGATGCATATCAGTATAGCGTGTATGGGGCAAAGCTACAAAGACAGACCTTTAGCCCGCGGATGCCGGGAAGGATATGTGAAGAGGATGCTTCTGTTGGCCTGTGGGAATAGGAAGGGGCATGACAAATTGGACTTTAGCTAGATTTGGGGTTGTTTAAAATGTTTCTCATATTTACAGGAATCTAGGGCCTTGGCTGAAATAGCGAAAGCCGAGCTTGATGACACCCCCATGAGAGGTAGACAGCTTCGGGTTCGCTTTGCCACACATGCTGCAGCCCTTTCTGTTCGGAATCTGTCACCCTATGTTTCTAACGAACTGTTGGAAGAGGCCTTTAGCCAATTTGGTCCTATTGAAAGGGCTGTTGTAATTGTGGATGATCGTGGCAGATCTACAGGGAAAGGCATTGTTGAATTTGCTTCAAAGCCAGCGGCAAGAAAGGCATTTGAACGATGCAGTGAAGGTGTTTTCCTATTGACAACGTAAGTTGTCTTTTGTTTCTGATAAATTTCTTATAATTTAGGGGGATAGTTGTTATAAAGATAGAAGGAAGTTAAGGTGAGGAATGATTTCTGTTACTAGGACTCCTCGCCCAGTCATTGTGGAACCTCTTGAACAGTTAGATGATGAAGATGGTCTTCCTGAAAAACTGGCCCAGAAGAATCCAATGTATCAAAAGTAAGATTAAGCTTTTTGGTGCTCTAAAACACAAGTTAGTATTTTATAATTCTGCTTAGAAGTTACCTAATTTTTAGACTGATGTATCTCTGGATCTGGAATTCCATTATGTAGGCCAGGCTGACCAAATCTTTTATGAAAAGTGTTTTACAGTATTGGTTAAATATACTTAATACACAATGTTTTGGGTTTTTGGAGACAAGGTTTCTCTGTAGCCCTGACTGTCTTGAAATGATTTGTAAAAGACCAGGCTGGCCTCAAACCCATGTATCCACCTGTCTCTCTGGCTTCAGGCAGAACTTAAAAGTTGTTGGGTACATTCACATGTGATTCAGATAGTGCTTAAATTGCATGAGATCTGCCTGGTAGGAAAACTAAGCCTAGATAATTAGGCTATAGAAAATGGGGAAGGTGCTCTTTCTTATCCTACCTTTCTGTTACTGTATCATTTATTTTATTATTATTTTACTTTTTAAAATTTAGACGGAGGGTCTCCCTGTAGAGTAAACTGGCTTAAAACTCATACATTATCATACCTTCTCCTCCCCCCCCCCTGCCCCCCAGACAGGATTTCTCTGTGGTTTGGAGGCTGTCCTGGAACTCTTGTAGACCAGGCTGGTCTTGAACTCACAGAGGTCTGTCTGCCTCTGCCAAAGAGTGTTGGGATTAAAGGCGTGTGCCACCCACGCCCGGATTCTTGCTTGATTTTATATCGTAATTTATTCCTTGATTTGATACAATTTAGGTAAATAATTGATGATGACATATGCATTCATCTAGGAGGCAAGTTCCATGCATGCCAGGGCTCCACAGTGAGATTGCAAGTTGGAGGTCTTACAAACAACACAATAGTATAAGAAACCATGTCTTGTGTTTCTTTGTCCTTCCTTGGTGCTGGGGATCAAATCCGGGACATTGTACATTATCCTACATGCTCATACAAGTGCTTTATTTACCACTGGGCCATAGCTTTATAGGTATGTAAAGTTTTTGAGTCAGGGTTTCTCTGTAGTCCTGGCTGTCTTAGATCTGCCTCGTGCCTCTATCTCCCCAAGTGCTGAGATTGGCTTTATATATATATTTTGTGTTGTCAGGGAGAGAGAAACACCTCCTCGTTTTGCTCAGCACGGCACATTTGAGTATGAATATTCTCAAAGATGGAAGTCCTTGGATGAAATGGAAAAACAGCAAAGGGAGCAAGTTGAGAAAAACATGAAGGATGCGAAAGATAAGCTGGAAAGTGAGATGGAAGACGCCTACCATGAGCATCAAGCAAATCTTTTGCGCCAAGGTGAAAAAAAAAAAAAACCTCAGAATTTTACTAAGGATCAGTTGACATTTTTTTATGTCTCCAGAGTCTCATGAATCTGAAAATATTAATTTCTTTGTTTAGATCTGATGAGACGCCAGGAAGAATTGAGGCGCATGGAAGAACTTCACAGTCAAGAAATGCAGAAACGTAAAGAAATGCAGTTGAGGTATAGTGTTAAATTTAGCCTTCACTTCTACCTGTAGACAAGATGTACTAAGTACAAGTTTTCGTTAGGAAAGCTTATTTGTCAGCATGCTGCTGTCTATAGTTATGGTCTAGGCTATGAATGTTACAGTTTGGTAACCTACACTTTTTAAAATTCTAAGAAAAACTACTACTCCTAGGGTTTTCAAGTAGTTTGGAACAAGGTGTTGCTGTATGGCAGTAGCTGGCCCTCTCAATTTGAGATCTCTTTCAAGTATAAATTCTAAAGATAGAGATGACACTTAGGTTTATACACCTGAAAAACATTTGTAGGCAAGAGGAGGAACGACGCAGAAGAGAGGAAGAGATGATGATTCGACAGAGAGAGATGGAGGAGCAAATGAGACGCCAGCGAGAAGAAAGTTACAGCAGGATGGGCTACATGGACCCGGTAAGTTTCCTGTTAGTGGAGCCTGAAGGTGCTGGTTAGCATAAAATGTATTCATTGTAAATGTATCTCCTTCAGTGCAGCTGTCTTTTGTCTTGTGTGGTACTTACCTGGATCTCACTGGATCAAATTTCATTGAGGTTTTTTTTTTTTTCCCTTTGTGTAACAGCTGGCCTCTAATTTTGCAGAGGTCCGCCCACCTGCCTTGACCTCTGGTGCTGGGATTAAAAGCCTGCACCACCACAGTCTTCATGAAGGTTTTTGTTTTCTCTAGCCAGTTTTCAGGACACTTAAATACCACAATCAAATAGAAAAATATGGTTTTTGAAGTTTGAATTGTTTTGTGAGTTGCTGTTTTTTTTTTTTCCCCCCCCTTTTTTTCAAGACAAGGTCTTGCTTCTATGTAGCCTTGATTGGCCTGGATTCTCTATGTACACTAGGTTGGTGTCAAACAGTGGTCTACTTCCCTGTGCCTCCCAAGTGCTGGAATTAGAAGTGTGTATCACCAAGCCTGGATAAACTTCTTGTGTTGAAATTTTCTTTATATTAGAGTACTTGCATATTTCATGTATAAGTAAGTTTATTTTTTTAATTTCCCCCTTTCCCCAGAGAGAAAGAGACATGAGAATGGGTGGTGGTGGAACAATGAACATGGGAGGTAAGTGAGAATTAAATTAATGGTATCAACACAAAGCCACAGTTACCTGTTGGTTGTAACCACTTTCTTTCTTTCCTAGATCCCTATGGTTCAGGAGGCCAGAAATTTCCACCTCTAGGTGGAGGTGGTGGCATAGGTTATGAAGCTAATCCTGGAGTTCCACCAGCAACCATGAGTGGTTCCATGATGGGAAGCGACATGGTAATGTATCCTGTGGGACATAGTACAAAGGAAATCCTTAATTTCATGACTTGAGTGTTTTTTTTTCCCCTCTCTTTCTCTCTTTTTAAAAAGTAGCTGACTGGACTTTTAGTTCCCCCATCATGTAAATACATGTAATACTGAGGATTACTTTGGCAATGTAGAACTATGTGTGGTAACCTAAACAGATCTGGTTGCCAACAAAGGATTCAATGCTGCTGTATGTGGAGTTATCTTTGGCAATAAGTAGTTAGGTATTTTCCATTTTATTGTCTATGCACTTTTGAACCTCCAGTGCACGGCAAATCCAAATTTTAGATGTTAGGTAATTCTATATGGTTTTTCTTCATCCAAGTGAGACAAATGGCACGGTGCCATTCTTCCGGAGCTGGCATTTGCCATAAGTAGGAATCAGACTCAATGGCTTGTAGTCTTAAGCATGTTAGAGTGACAGGTAGGACTTTGACTTATAATTGCTGTGGTTTCTATTTCTAGCCCATGAAAAAGAACTGTCTAGTGTTTTGACTCGTCGTTTCCCACCTGTTGGGTCTCTCTGTAGGTACATCTGAAATAAACTGATGTTTCTACTTTGCTACAGGGTAGCAAAGTCAACAATAATTTAAGCATACGGATGTGTGCATTTGTTCTGAACCCCTTGATACAATCATGCTTTTATCTATATGAGATAGTCTGTCAGGTGCTTGACAGTAGTAGTAAAGTGAATTTTGTTATGAGTGGCTGCAGTAGGGCTTTACAGATCTTTAGGAACTGCATTTTGGTGGGAATACATTTTTTGTAAATAAATTGAATCGGAGTAATTCACCTATAGGCCTTTGTCACAAAGGAGCTGCATTTTGTAGCTCATAAGATTTATTTTCTATATAGGAATTTGCAGTTTTAGCGTGAGACCTCATTTAAAACCTGCCTAAGGTTTCTTGAAATTTTAACATTATAAATGGTTGGATATAGTGCTGTTAAGTTCCATCAAATTGCACTTACAATTAATATTTTGGTTTTACGTACTTTCTTGAAGGTACAAGGTATATACATCAAATTTGTTAACTAGTTTGACATGTGTTCTTTAGGTTCTGTGTCTAGACACAGGTTTATACATTTAATAACTCCTAAATCCTTAGCTATTGTAATACGACTCTGAAGCCTCAAATTAACTCTTATAGAAGCCATACTGTTTGGAAGATTTTTCAAGAGTAAAAGATTGAGAGTAGTCTGTTTGAGTACTTCTGTAGTGTTTTAAGATGAATTTATAGGGACAGTTAAAGTCTGGTGTCATCTTTATTTTTATTTATTTTGAGTAATGACCAGTAACTGGGTTATTTTGAGTAGAATTTTAAGTGGAATGTCTGTAGAGTTCTGCTGTTAGGATATGTGGGTTTTATTTTACTTGTGTTTTAAAAGTGACAGTACCTAAAACTAGATGGAGTAGTGGTCAGTAACCGCTTTATTGCAGTCACCCAAGATTGGTAATAGGCTGTTTTGGGAGATAACCTAAAACATGGAATCATAACAACTTAATAGTGCTCTTTTCAAAACTAAGAGAAAGTTGGACTTGGAAGTAGGTGGGCTGTCTATTGTGTTCTGTAACAATGCAGAAACATACTGTGCATGCTAAGTGTCTCTGGTTTATAGTGATGGCTCTGAAGTGTGGGATGCCTGTGAGACTGTGGCAACGTGAGAAGTTTTTGATCAAGTTTTACTGTGCCGGTTAGGTAAAAATCTATTAGTTTTTTGTGCTGTTTCTTTTTTGTAGTATGGTAGTATTTTATTAAGCTTCATCCCAACTTTTTAAGATTTCTGCAATTTTGCAGATGTGTGTTAAGATCTTGAAAAGCACAAGGTTTCTTATGCAGCACATGCCACTAACTGGTGAGTAGGTCTTTGTCAATTCATTGAGTGAGTTGCCTTTTGTCTGATTGGGCTTGTTAGGCTTGGAGATGATTTTCTGTTCATACCTGGACAAGTGTTTCAGTGGATTAATCTGATGTGAATTTCTTATAACTCATTTTGGAATGGGTTTTCACATCTGCACTAATTCTTAAATTTTTTAGCACTACAGGGAAGATCTATTCTTTGAAACAGGTGTATGAGAATGGCTCAAGTGGGAACATACCACAAGGCATGTATTACCGTAAACTAATTTTCAAATTACCCTTTTTTCCTTTCTATGTTCCCGGTACCTGTGGATCGACTCATTGGTGATTGTATCGACGAACGTTGACTACGGAACCTTCTAAAATATTTACTTAACACACATGGACATCAACTACATTTTAATGAACTGTTAATTTACTGTTCCAATAGCGTACTGAGCGCTTTGGGCAGGGAGGTGCGGGTCCTGTGGGTGGACAGGGTCCTAGAGGAATGGGGCCTGGAACTCCAGCAGGATATGGTAGAGGAAGAGAAGAGTATGAAGGGCCAAACAAAAAACCCCGATTTTAGATATCTAGGCTTTCATTCCAGTTTGTTTTTGTCTTTTCTTGTTTAGATACCACTTTTAAATTCTTGCATTTTAGTAAGAAAGCTACCTTTTTATGGATGTTAGCAGTTTATTGACCTGATATTTGTAAATGGTCTGTTTGGGCAGGTAAAATTATGTAACGCAGTGTTTGAAACAGGAGAAAAAAAATTCTTTTTATTTCCTTTTTTTTTTAACTGTATAATGTTTCTCAAGTTAATGGCAGTGTACCTTGTGCCACTGAATTTCCAAAGTGTACCATTTTTTTTACTGTGCTTCGAATAAATAGAAAAATAGTTATAATACTGATCTTCAACTTTGCCATTCATGCTTCTATGCACATTAGGCTAGGTATTCCACTTGGAAAGCATGAGCGTGTCTAGGCCTTTGAGTGGCATATGCCATTTCTGGGAAATGTATCTGGAGGCTAAGTATTGCATTCTACAAATGACATACCCCCCTTGGTTTAAAAAGAAATGGATATTGAAGTAGTTAGGATTTATTTGGCATTATAGGAAGCAAGCTGGTGCTAAGCATTTTTAAACGGTTATGTTAGAAAAGTGGAACTGTAAATCTTCATTCAGGAAGATGTATTGAGATTATGGAGTGGGTATAAACTATGGGTAGTGAGAGAAGGGGGTTTGGTTAAGCGGATCCTTTATGGCCCTATCTATGATCCTTTCCTTGAAAGCTTTTGAAAATGGAAAGATCATCTTGTTGCATTTCCCCTATTGTTTTGTTTTAAACGAATAATTCCCAAGCCCTACAATCGGCTTGTTACTGAACTCTTTTGCATTTGAATTAAAGATTGTTAAACATGAAGCCTTTTCATGTATTACTTTAAGTGATTTAAAAGATGGGATTTAGTCTGAAATTTTAAGTTGAGAAGAGTTAAGAGTTGTTAGTTAACAATAAATAAGGTAGGTTTAGCCTTATGTACTCTTTAGATTTTAAAATACACCTCCTTGTGTGCTATTGAGCAAAATCTGTAGACTGAAAAATCTATTGGTTCTCTTTAAGAGCTAGTGGTGACTGTTACTAAGTAGGACTGCCAATAACCATTCTCACTATGGAGTTGACCTGTTTTTATACCATTCTTTTTAACATAGCACTAAACCTGGAGAGAGTTGCTCAGGCTACATAGTATAAATACTCTTTCCTCCCACCGTAAGCTTGGGGGTGTTTTGATGATGTTAGCTGATTGTCAACTTCATTGAATTTCCTTTCATTAGAACAAGAGACTTTCTGACTTGATAATAATAAAGTAGATTGTTTACTGTTGTCTATGAGTATAATGGGAGCTTGATTTTTCTTCCCAGTGTAAATATGTTAAGAGGAAAAACTTCTTACAGTACGTAAAGTAAGAATGGCTTGGCTCTGTTCTTAGTTACATTTCCATTCAAGTCTATACATTATAGAACTTTCACTATGGAATGTCTTCATCCTTTTCACCTCTATCCTTGGTGCTAATTGGCAAAAGAAATTCTAAATCACTTGGCTGAGGTTGAGTATTGTGCTTGAGTACAAAAGGAGACCTCTTGTGGAAACAATTGAGTGCTTCATGAATAGGAAAATACCGTAATTTTTAAAGTAAAACACAAGTAGATTATAAGAACCATGTCACCAAATGGTTTTATAACTGACAGGTATATGGTGTATTAAGGGAAAAAAAATCTCCTTAAAAAAATACGTTCATTGTCTTCACCAGTACACTTGGAAGTAGGCAGTTCCATCATAATTTTAGCAATCAGAAAGTTTTGGCCCAAGTGAAGTTAATAATTGGTGATGCATGAAGGTTTTCTGTACTGAAACAAAGGTCTGGATTTGAAAGGAGCTCATTTGGTTGAATTGTATAGTAGGGACCATAATAATGAGAAAATTGAGGGTGTTCATGGGACACCCATGGAGGGTGAATTTGAATGTATGTGGGTGGGGGCTGGCGGGGAAATGGAAAATCTGCCTATAAAATTAATGTTTCAGTTTATTTTTCAGATTACATGCCTTTCTTTATAAGGGATGCTGGCACAGACTCCTAAAATAAGCTTTTGGTAGTAGTATACTTTTGAAGAGAGCTGAAGGATACTTAAAGGATAGTTTCCTGAGATTGTGCCTTTTGATAGCCTTCATTGTGGGCTGTAGAGTTGCTAAACTGTGTTTAGCAGATAAGGTTGCATAGTGTCAACCAACATTGACTTTGATCAGTGTACCAAGGGTCGTAAGCTACTGAGACTTTCAATAAGTCTTACATGTGATTGTTTTAGTGAATTTTAAATCATATTGAGCAGTTGAAGCAAAAGGAACTTAGGGTGGGAGGGGAAGATAACAGGATGTATTTTAGACATTTTCCCGTAGAAGAAATCACCTGCCCCCATTTCTTCCTTTCACTTCCTCAAAATTTTGTTTGCAGGGCACACTTTCTCTAAGACAGTAATATATATTTAACAGGCATGCTATAAGCTGAACCCATTGACATACATTATGTGGTGAGACCATATTTTGTCCCTAGGACATTAAATTCATAAGTACTTTAAAACCCACCACTCTTTATGTGTGTTGTACCACTAATATAAACAATCTGGGAAAATTGTGATGTTACACCTGTGCAGTTTTTACAAGTGGCATATGGCAGATAAAAATTTAGGTACTTGGCTTGGGCAAGCCACATAGTTGTGGCGGAATGTTTTGTGGTGTTCTTGGACTGCAATTGTGCACTATTAAAGTAGTGGCCTGCTACATAACTGCATTTAGCCAGCATTTCTGCAGTGCGTAACTGTGAGGAACGTAGTACCGCAAATGGCAATGGACATTAGGACCCGGATGTAGTATTCCTGCTTGCTCCAAGATTCTCATTGCCGACTGCATACAGGTAGGTAACAAGCAATATAATCTAACTTGGTGACTTGCTATGTGCTTTTATTCAGTGGGCATTCTGACATCACACTTCTGACAGTGAAATTACAGTGCAGCACCTAATACTTGTATGATAAGCTAGGTTAATTCAAAATCTGGGTCTGGGGTTAGATCTGTAATTTGTTAGGAAGAATTCAGTGTTGTTGGAGATCTCAGAAAATGCAAACTTGAATCTTTTGGTGTCTTGAAGTTTTGTGGTTTTCTTTAGTTACATATTGTAACTGAAGATAAAATGGAACACATCTGTGGTTGGGAGGGAACCAAACCATACTTGGCCTGGGGTGCTCATAGCACCTTAATGAAGACTGTAGTTTGTGACACTTAGTCTCCTTAGTAGCACACTTGACCTCCCATTGGTCAGCAATGATTTCATTATGCAATCTTGAGAATTGTTTTGCAAGATGAGTGAATTAAAACTAAATGACACAGGGTGGGGGGTGGGTTTTTTTTTTTTTCTTCTGGGATTTGTTTTTGTAATGTGATCAAATTTTTCCAGGAATGGGCTTCATGGGAACACTTTTGTTACTAACTTGGGCTTAAATGGGAATCTTAACGAATAGCTAAAGTTATGTGGCTTGTCTAAGTATGTTTATACTCTGAACTTGGGGGAAAGTAGTGTGAAACACTGACTTCCTACAGTTGAAAGCATTGGGAATCATCCCCACCATAAGACTTCGTCGTATTTTGTAGAATGAGTGCATTTGTTCAGAGTAGCCCTTTGAACTTCGTTCCCTAGTTTTAGGGATGTGATTGATTACAGTCCAAAATGTTTAGTAACCACAGGATTTATGAGCCTTCCAAGCATTTTCCTTTGTTGCTTAGGACTTGAGCTTTCTTCCTATCAACTGTTCCAGACCTCAATTCAGTTTAACTTTATCGTTTAGGTAGCATGCATGAGAACAAACAGCTTCACTCATAATGCTTTCTGCTCTGTAACTGGAAAGTTTGGTTCATTCTGCATACGTGCCGCTGAAAACCTCAGGACTGTGAGAATTTTCTTTCACTGTATCCAGAAAAATGGCTTGCTTTTGGTCAGGCAAGTCAGATGGTGGGGCAGATTTGTATTTACTCCAAGCAAACAACTGTGATTACTGATAGATGAAAGCAATGGTGACTTAGCTCCTCATATGCTACAAATCAAAACAGTGTGACATGAGTATCACTAACCTGCCTGGAACCCTGATGGGGCATTGCAGTGTCATAGTCTGTTAAATCGGTAGTACATCCTTGCTACCGTGGCTCAGTTAGCGATTTTGAGTATTAACATGAGCTCAGGCTTATTTCTTCTGAACAGTAACAACTTGCAGAGAATATACTTGATATAATGTATGGACTTAGGGAACTTGGGGTGGGGTTATTTTTTTTCCCCATTGGTCTGCTTTAAGATGAGGCTTTTGTACTTCAGAATGAGAAACCATTGACTTAAGTAGATTTCTGCTAGTTTAATTTGTATGTAGATGTAAATGGTGAATCTTACAGTATATCGGGGTTCTAAAACACTCAAAAAAGCTGGGAATTAAATGGGTTCCAGTAATACTATATACTGAGGTGCTCGCATTGTATTTCATAATCTTGTTGCAACCAAAAAATTAGTTTTTAAATGAAATCCTAAGTTCAGAGGTGTGATGCCAGAATGTATTATCGTACTGTTAGGCCCTTGGAGCAGATCCCGGTGCTTTCAGAAAGATGAAAGAGATGCAATGGGAGCTCTTGATACAAGGCTGCTTGCAGCCTATCAGCAGTGCATACTCTCACTCTCTAATGAAGAGATGCGTGTGATTAGTTTTGGACTTTAACCTTAATGGGGGTGCATGTCTCCTATTGTTAATCATTGTCAGCTGCAGTGACATGATCCACAGTCCTGCATTTACTGCTGCCTTTGTGTTAATGATTTTGGATAGGTTTTAGAGCTCTGGGGTGTTTGTTCTGGGCCTTATCTTTTGGTTTTGGCTTTAGCTGATAATGTTTAGTGCTGTCTAGCTAGTGCAGTTCTCAAATGGCTCCCTACTGGGGAGAGAATCCAGAGGATTTAACTGCTCCTTATCATCTGTCATTGCTGCTAGATAATGATTGGCAATTTTCTAGATGCAAATGTGGAAATCTCAACAGCTATTGGCAAACAACCAACCATAAAAATAATGTTTTTGAACACCAGTGCTGGAGAAAAAAATGAAAGTGAAAAGGGCCTGGACATACAATAGGGATGATTGGAGAATGGGGAAAGAATGCAAAACGATATAGTATCCCTTATGGATGGTCCATGTGCAACAGAGAACTATTCCTTATATCTTCGGCAGTAATGATTCAGGGAGGAAGAAAAACCTGGAACTTGAATTTAAGGCTGAGTTTTCTGTTTCTTGTGTATTGTGCCAGGTATATAGTGAAGGCCATTGACTTCTCCCTCAGAAAAACTTTCCTTGCTGTTTCAATAAGGCATAGCTTCCCTGCCCTAACTTTAAAACACAGTGAGGACTTGGAGGACAAAGGTTGAGGCAAATACATAATAGGATTGCAGGGTAAAGAACTGCAGTGTTGTGTGCTGTGGGAAAAGGGTCAAAGCACTCCTGGAGGTTATTCTACCTAAGAATGAAAGACACAACGAATTGACTGGGGAAGCAGGGTATGTTGTAGAGCTAGCTCAGTGAGGTCAACGTTGTCACATACCTTCACATAAGGGATAGTATATTTTGGGTTGCAGTCAAACTTCATTGTGCTCAGACTGGTGAAAATAGAAAAGAGGCTTTTGCATTTTGAAGAAGATAGTTTTCATCCTAATCCTGTCATCTACTTACTACTTACATAAAGAATAATTTTAGATTTCCCCCCGTAAAGTTTCTTCCTTTTTTTTTCTTCTTTTTTTTTTTTAATGCTACAACTTATTCCAGTCTTTAATCTCTGGAATTTTGCTCTTTTAAATTTGGAAGTTAACTAGCATTTTTCAAGCCTTTATCTTATACCCTTGTCTTTTATATTAACTTTTTCTTATTATTCTTTAGGTAAGAATGATTGATGTTGGCTGATTTTTGGAGTCTTTACTTTGAAGTAAGTGTCCTTAGAAATGGGGGTTTTAGGATCTGATTTATCTTTGGCTTGGTGGTGAAAATTCTTTGATTCTGAAAAATGTACCAAGATACAATTTTAGTTTTTTGAGTGTTAGTGGAGGGTTAGGAATTGCCTTGATACCTGGGTTTGATTCTTAGTACCTCCATGGTAGCACCCAAAACACAAACATTACACTAGGTGGTGGGTGGGCACACCATTAATCCTAGCACTTGGGAAGAAGAGGTAGGCAGATCTGGTCTACATAGCTCCAGGACAGCCAGACCTACACAGGGTTTTTAAAAACCCTGTCTTTAAAAAACCAAAAAATAAATTAGGCTAAAATTTATGGGCTATTTATTACTTCAATTTTGTTTTATAGGTGAAATAAGATGTTTGTCCTCAAGACATCACACAACACAGGCCAGCCAAGAAGCAAAGCCACGTTTAGCCTGAAAAACACTAGGTAAGTGAAATAAGTGATGTTAGATTTCTTTGGATTTTAGTTCCTCCTCCCTCTATCTCCAGAGAACTGGGATTACAGGAGGTTGTCACCAGACTTGGTGTGTGTGGTAAAGAGAATTGCCAAATGTTTCATGAAAGCTGTTAGGTAGATAACTCAGCCAACTGAGCTACACCCCTGACCCAGCATTTTAAACTGCCTTGTAGCTCTTTGCTATTATAAAATTGCCACTAACCACCACGTTCCTTGATTGGCAGGGTTAGGAAAATTGGTTGTTAGAGCTTTGTAGAAGTGATGTTTGAAATTTTGAAACCTGGTTCTTTTGGATTAATCATATTTTTTAATTGACAGGATCAAGTGAGCTGTATCAGAAAATGAGTCAAGACGAAAGAGGAATGAACTTATTGCCTTTTAATAAAGATATTTTAAAATCTTGATTGTCTTTTGTTCAAATAGGGTTTTGTGGGGGATTTTTTTTTTCCCCCCTCTTGTCTGATTGTATACCCAAAGTCAAGTCTAGGTAGCAAAGATGAGTTTTCAGATTTGGTGTTGTGTACATGCATGGTCAAACTGGGGCTTAGCAGGGTTGCAAAATATTCAATGAAGTCTTAAAATTGGTGCTGGAAGGACAGGCTACTTGGGAAAGTTTACTTTTATTTACTATTTAAGGTGTATGTCACCACAGTTTTCTTTCAAATTTATTATTTTATATACATTGGTGTTTTGCCTACATGACATAGTATGTCATCTGCCATGTGGGTACTGGGAAGTGAACTCTTCCTCTAGAAGAGCAGTCAGTGCTCTGGCCCTGGCAAACTTATAATTCCTGAAAATTAGATGTTTTAGCCAGGCAGGCAGATCTCTGACTTACAAGCAAGTCTGGTCTCTACATAGTTCTGGACACCTAGAACTAACTACATAGTAAGACCCTGTCTCACAAGACAGTTTTATGGCCTTTAATTTGGTAGAGGATTCTTAAATGTGAACAAAGGAAAGACTAGAATTTAATAAGCTTCCAAGAGAATTTCAGCAGAGCAACACCCTGGAAAAAGAGGGTTAGGTTAGTGAGATAGCCAAGTGGGTAAAGGAAATGAAATAAAAAGTCTTAAGTTAAATTCCTTGGCATCCACATGGTGGAAGGACAGAAGTGACTACGGCAATTTATCCTCTAACATAAACACTGATTGAAAACATGCCAAATAGATTGTTACAGGATAGGGACATCAGCTTTGCCAGTTAGCAATGAGTGCTTATTTCAAAGCACGTACGGGAATGTGTTTATACTGAACCCACAAGGTGCAAGAGGACGTGTTCAAATCCTATGGTAGGTTGTTTTAAAAAGTACTCTTCAGCAACGTGCTAGCAAAGTGTTTAGCTATTTTTAGGAAAGTTTACACTGCCAAGTCTAAAGGGTCAGTTTTGGGTGCATAGATGACTCAGCTTTTGTTCTTAGGTTCAGTTCCTTGACCTGTATGAGGTGGTAGGTACATCGTGTAACTCCAGTTCCAGGGAGTCTAGATATGGTGGACCTCTGGTCCTCTTCCCTGTGGGGGTGCAGTTTCATGCAGACAAACATGAACATCTGTAAAAATGTTAGTATTGGGAAAGCGCTGAAAAGATTTTAGTGGTAAAGTATACAAATGTGTGGCCACTCACGAACAAACTTGAAATTAATGGTACGCTGAGGTACTTGCCAAAATTCCCTTAACCTAGGCATGAGCCCTAGCAATGCTAGCACAACAATAGAAGGGAATGTTAGGACTCAATCTAAAATTTAGCAACTGACTTGAGTCATTTGTCTGAGCATAAATGATCACCATGGGCCTTACACACGCGATGGCCAGGATAAGGAAGCACTGAGTACTGACATCAAGCAGGAGCCTTGTTAGTGATGCAGGCTTTTCTTTTAATTTTAGCTTCTGGGAGGTAGAGGACATACCTACTCTAAGTGGGGGGGGGGGGGGGGGGGGGGGGGGAAGACCCACC